AAGTTTGAGAAATTGGAAAAAAATATTTTGGTGATACCGATAATGATGCTGATCAATTTGTAAATAATTATCTTGAAGGTAAAGTACCACGTAGTTCTTTCAATAAATATCGAAAAGAATTTATTAAAATAGTAAACACAAGACTTTCAAATTGAAAAAAAGGCGATGACCCTAAAATATTTATTGGTGTATATGCTGTTTTTGATTGAGAAAAAGAAAACGTTGAAAAAATAAAGACAATTAATAGAATTAGAAAAGAAATTGCTAATCAAAGATTCACGAAAATAAGAGGATCTTATAAATATAAAGGAGAAGAATAATGACAAATAAAGAAAAAGGAAAAAAAATTAAAGAAATGACAGAAAAACAAAGAGAACACGAAAGATGAAAATTATTTTTACGAAAATATATTTGATGATCAAATCATAAAGACATAAAATATCATAGTAATTTGACAAATCGAATTTTAAATTGTAAACATATTAAAAAAGATGAAGACAAAAATAAAGTAATAGATGTTATAAATGGTAAACTTGAAAAGTCTGATATCGAACATGATTTGTTTCTTTTATTAAGAGATGAAATATTTTTTGACTTAATTAATGTTATTAGAGATAATAATAAAATTGAAGAAGATAAAACAAAAGAACGGAAAAGATTAGAAGTAGTAAAATCACTAAAACGTTTTAAAATATATGAATGATCATGAGTGACTATAAAAAACATGGAAGCTTTAGCTGAAGAAGTAAACAGACAAAATAATTATGATGAAGATAAATTAGTTATTTTACATGACAGATTTTATGATAAAGATGTTCATGGTTACGAAACATCAGATGATACTAATCTTTTTTATTTTTTAATTGGAAAAAAAGATGAAAATTATAAATATGCGACCGATGTTTCAATTTGTGTTTATAGAGGGGGAGGTATTGAAGTTAAATATCCCGACATCACAAACTTTACAGAATATGATGATGATGGACATAAAACTATGTTTTGTAAAGTAGCAACTTATTTTGATATCCATAATGACTGAGATAGTATTATTGATAAAATTAAAAAAACTATAACATATTTGGAAATAAGAGATAAAGAAGAAATTGAAGAAGCTGAAAAAAAAGAAGCTGACAAATGAAGAGCAATACGAGAAAAAGAGGAAAAGAAAGAGCTTGAAGCAAAAAGAAAAGCGATGGATGCAAAAATTTTAGAAGATATAGCAAAAAAAGCTAAGAAAAAAGCAAATGATAGAGCATAAAAAAATGTTAAAAAAAGAAATTAAAAAATTTTGAGATTTAAATAAGATATTGGCGAAAATTGGCAACGTCGAAAACGTCACTGTAAGCCCTAAACTTGACGGAGTTGGGGCTTACTATAATAAAAACATCTAATAGTTTAATTATATGTCGATCCTCGGTTAGAGTGACAACATTTTCTATAAAAAAAGATGATAGAGTTGAAGGATTTGGCGAATTAGTTTTAAATAAAGAGTTTGGAAATCGGCGCGACGTTGTTGGACTTATCAATAGAAAGTTTTATGATGAGCGCCACAATTTACTTGAATTTATAAATTATAAAAGAGTCGAAAAAGTAATTAAATTGAAAGATTTGAAAAAATATATTGAACAACAGAAAGATATTGATTTTTACACTGATGGTGTGATTATTGAACGTAAATATGCGTTTAAATTTGAAGGACCTAAAAGTTGTGGAACAATAGATAAAATAACAAAACAAATTGGCAAAAAAACGGGCAAGATTTCTTATATAGCTTGATTAAAACAAAGCATTAAGTTAAATGAAATTACTGTTAAAAAAGTTAATTTGTCAACTAATAAAAGTAAATATAAAGTAGGTGACCATGTCATTATTGAATTAAAAGGACAAACGGTACCTATCATAATAAAAAAGGAGAATATATAATATGAATAAATTTATAGTTATAGAAGGTATTGATTACTCCGGTAAATCAACATATATAGAAAAATTGAAAAAAGAATATAAAAAAGAAGGGAAAAGTGTTTATGTAACACGAGAACCACGAGGAATTCGTTTTGGCGAATTATTAGCTAAAGAAGTCTTTTTTAACGACAATCTCAAAATCAGCTCAATTACAAAGGCAATTTTGTTTATTAGTGTCGGTTGAGAATTATATAATAAAGTATTAGCTAAAAAGTTTAAGAAGTATGATATTGTGATTTGCGATAGGTATATATTTAGTACGTTTGCTTATCAAGTATTTGGAGGCGATAAAACAATTAATCAAAACCAATTATTGACAATGTATACATACGCAATGCCAAAAAATTATTTACCTCACGAAGTACATTGAGTAGATTGTTCGACAGATGAAATTTTAAGACGAGTAAAAATTAGACTACCGGCAAACAATTACGACGCAAAATGTTTAAAGAAAAGTTATGTTAATAAGATTAGAAAAGCTTACAAAGAAACTTTTGAGTTTTTCACGTATAACACTATTTATTCTAGAAAATGTAACAAAGAAAACGTTATTGTGTTTGAAAAGGACAAAATTAATGAATAATATTTTTAAGAGTTTGGCACAAATGCGCGATTTGAATATGTATGAAACAGATGAGTTGAAATTGATGCCTATCAATGAGGCAAAAAAATTAAACAAAACTATTATTGTTTTAAATTACAAATTATTTTATAATGACAAAAAAGCTTATGCTGTTGTTTTGAAGAACACGAACAAGTTTAAATATTTTGAAAGTAACAGTTGGGGCGAAAAAAAATTTTTTGCTAAAAAGACCTTTGTAAAGAACAATAATTTAAAAATCAAGTTTAATTGTCTTAAAGGAGATTATGGATTTGTTGCTATTGACACGGTGGGTTCGAAAGCCCACTTTGTTAATTGACATGAAATTTTAGATAGTCAAGTCCATAAAAAACAAATATATAAAATTAGATTTAGTATTAACTATAATTTTTCAATAGATTTTTTAAACGATTCTTGACGAAAATTTCGAGCAACACATTCTAATCTATATTTTAAAAATTTTAGAAATGAAGTTGATAGATATATAATAAATTTAAAGTTTGTAAGAACATTTATAAATAACATAAAAGGAGTAAAAGAAGATGTTTAAAAATAATAAAGAAAATAATGATTTAGGGGTGTATAGTGACGATATTGATATCATGTTAGAAGCAACAAATGAAGTGTTTTGTAGAACTGTATCTTTAAGTTGAAGTACATGACAAAAAGTTAGAGGTTATAAGAGCGCAATATTAATAAACATTCATCAAAAATGAATACGTCTAAATTGTTAAATATTCGACGAACTATTTTGACATGTAAAGCAATTTGAAAATTAGCGGAAAATATTTTAAAATTAGAAGATAATAATGAAAATAGAGCGAAATATTATAGAGAAGGGTTACGTTTTTATATTACAGTGTGACCTCCTGCGTTGACATGATACGGAGAATTTGGAAAGTTTTTAAGAAAATGAAAAAAAAAATAGATAAATTATATAATGAATATATTAAAACAAAAGACAAGAAAATTCTGTTTAGAATTAAATATGAGATGATGAATATAGCAAAAAAAACATGTAATGTTGTTTCACACATGAAAACAAGAGGTTATAGTGACCCAAAAACAATGTATAGTTTCTGTTTTGAAAGATTCGATAAAATAATAAAGGATTATAACCCTACACATAAAACAACATTGAGTACATATACTGCTATTTGTCTTTGAAATTATTTAAAAAGTATTCAATTTCATAAAAGTAAAATTATGGCAAGATCTAGAGTTTATACAGTACAACCGTCAAATACTTTCAATAATGATAAGTTAAAGTTAGATTTGAAGAGTATTTTAGGTGATACGTTAGATTATAAATTGATATGTGACAGATTAGGACTTAATGGGAAAAAATTATTAACAACTGAATTAGCTAAAATGTATAACAAACCAGTTAATACTATATATGTGGTGTTATGACGGGCAAAAAATAAGTTACGAAAATATTTTAAAAAATAATTGTAATGGAATTGATGTTTTTTTACATATATATATATGAAGGGCAAGAGACCTACGAAAACAATCCCTGAATAGTTGACACGTGGAAGACCACGAGTTTTAGTCCTAAATACATAAAACTTAATAGTAACAAACTCCGCCTTGTTACACGAGTTTTTGACTTAAAACTGTTTAGACATGTGTGCGTCTTTAACCATACAACAGTTGAAAAGTACTATAAGCTTTTAGTCGAGTCAAGACTTAAAACCGAACTATGTTGAAAAGGTACTACAACCTTTTAGTCTAGTCAAGACTTAAAACCGACTTAACTACCTCTGTTAACGCGGAGGTGGTTTTTGGGCCTGTAGCTCAATTGGGAGAGCATTTGGTTTGCAATCAAAAGGCAGTCAGTTCGAATCTGGCCAGGTCCACCATTATAGAGTGTTAGTTCAGAGAGGAGAACATCTGTTTTACAAGCAGAAGGTCAGTGGTGCAATTCCACTACACTCTACCAATGAGAGCTAGCTTTGAAGTCAAGCAGTCGGGTTTTACCCGGAAGTGAAGGTTAAATTCCTTCGGCTCTCCCATAATAGAGTGTTAGCTCAGCAAGTAAGAGCGCCTGTATTACAAGCAGGAGGTCAGTGGTTCAAGCCCACTACACTCTACCATTTTTTGCTGGTTTAGCTTAATTTGGCAAAGCACCCGTCTTGTAAACGGACGAGTAAAGGTTCGAGGCCTTTAACCAGCACCATATAGAGCCATAGCTCAGTGGTTACAGCGCACGCCCTATAAGCGTGAGATCTTGGGTTCGATCCCCAATGGCTCTACCACGGAGGAATAGCGAAGTGGTTAAACGCGTCTGACTGTAAATCAGATTCTTTTTAGATACGGGAGTTCGAATCTCTTTTCCTCCACCATTATCGGAAAGTAGCTTAGATGGAAAAGCGTTCGGTTCATATCCGAGAGATCATAGGTTCAAGTCCTCTCTTTCCGACCATTTTTTTTCGGAGCGATACCCAAGCTGGTTTAAGGGGACTCATTGCTAATGAGTTAGGTTGGTATTTCCGACGCATGGGTTCGAATCCCATTTGCTCCGCCACGCCCGATTAGCTCAGTTGGTTAGAGCGATTGCCCGTTAAGCAAGAGGTCACAAGTTCGAATCCTGTATTGGGCGCCACGCCTCGTTAACTCAAACGGTAGAGTAGTTGCCTTTTAAGCAAATGGTTAAAGGTTCGAGTCCTTTACGAGGCACCATTTTAGCCCACGTAGCTCAATTGATTAGAGTCAAGGTGTTCTAAGCCTTAGGTTGAAGGTTTGAATCCTTCCGTGGGTACCATAATTTCGCAGATGTAGTTTAGTGGTAGAACTTCAGATTTCCAATCTGATTGCGGGAGTTCAATTCTCCCCATCTGCTCCAATATTTCAATGTCATTTTTGACATTTTTCAGGAACAACGACGTCTACAACGTCAGATTCCAAATGTGCCGAGCATCACAATTTAAACTGCTCATTATTTGAGGTAATCAAAATGAAAACGATATGCGTCAAAAGAAAAATGACTCAAAGTGAAAAACTTTTAGTTTTAAGACAGAAGAGGCTAGTTTTAATATCACAAATAAAACACGTCAAACTTCTTTTTTTCTTATGTTTGTCTGTAATAATCATACCTTACTATTTATATGTAAAGTGTTATCGAAACGTGAAAATTATAAACAAAATAAGAAAAATTAATACTAAAATAGTAGAGCGAGGTGGGTACGAAACTAACGTACAAAAATTATATAATCCTCACACTACGAAAATCCCTTGAAGAAGTCATAGTTAAATAATAATGTTACTATGGACAGAGAAAAAAAGAAAAAGAAGATTGAAGACGAAAATGATATCGCCGATGTTGTTATTGTTTCAGTTTTTATATAAATGACAAATGAAGAAAAACGAATGTATGATTGATACGTTTGATCAGTTTCAACATTGATACAACAAAATAGGCTCGATTTAAGAACTCTAAAAAATCAAGTAAAAGAGTTAAGATATATGTTAATGGCTGATTTTGAAAGACCACCTCCACGTTGAGAGTCTGAATATATAAATCCACGATATTTCACAATCTTTGAAATTGTAAAAAAGAAAGAAGAAGCTTTTCAGTATGGTATTGATAATTACGACAAAATAAAACAAGGAAAAAAAATGAAAAAAAAATGAGATGAAAACAGATAAGATCACATCTTAAAAGGAAAAAAACAAAAATGAATAAATTAACAAACAAAGAAACAATGTATTACGGAAAATCCATCGCAGGTCCAGTTACTACTGATACTTTCATTGGAATTTTCGATCGTATTAGAAAATTAGAAACAAAAATAGCACAACTTGAAAAATTAGTAGAAGATTTACCAACACGTGCTGTAATTGGAGACTGCTTACATCCAATAGGTAAACGTATTAAAAAACTTGAAGACAAGATCAAAAATAATGACAAATAAAGAAATGCAAGAAATGGTGACAAACTGAAACGAACAGTTAACAAATGAGCAAATTGAAAATATCAAAGAAAATACACCTCGATATGATCCAAAAAAAACATACAAAACATTTGACATTTTTATATATAACAATACTGCTTATATTGTAAATTTATGAAATGAATTAGGTGGTATGACAGCGCATACTTTACTTACAAATGGTAATTCAATATCTAGAGCCATGGCTAAAATAATTGAAAAGTCAGATATGAGTAAAATAATTGAAAAGTCTGAAGGGTATGATTCAACATTACCGGAACCATTTAATAAACTAAACGCCAATTTAAGTTTGGGATATATCAATTCGATTTATAACTGAATAGAAGAAAGTTCAACTCAATCTTCAAAATTTAAAATAGGAAGTCATAAATAATGACAAATAAAGAAAACAAAAAAGATTCATGAGCACCATTAAAAATTTATTTGATACCAATTTTGGAACGCATTGAAAAACTAGAAAAAGAAGTAAAAGAATTAAAACAGGAGGTAAAAAATAATGACAAATAAAGAAAATAGAAAATTGTTTTGAGGGACTTTTAATAAATTAGATCATCATCGAGATTTACATTTTCAAAGTAATTTGATAGATATGGTGATGTTTGGACCAGATATTAATGACTATAAAGTTGAAGAAGAAATATTAGCTGTCATGAACGGTGAAGCCAGCATTGAAGATTTAAGTGATAATACTTTTGATAAATTAAAAGAAATGATATTACTTGATGTTTTAGAAATGATAAAAACAAATGAACGTGTTTTAGATTGTGATCAAGCAAATTTAGATAGACGAAAAGACACTTTGAATTTATTAAGAAAGTTCAAAGAAAAACATTGAGAAAAATATAGAATTTATATAGAAGATATTGTTGAAGAAGTAAACAACCAAAATAATTATGATAAAGAAATTTTAGTAAAAATTTTAGATACTCATAAAGGTTATAATGTTATAGGATTAAAAAATAATGATAAAGATAGTTACGTATTAAGATGCACTATAGGTTATAAAAATATGGGTATGAAAAACAAATCAGAGATAAATTTTTGTGTTGATTTAAAATTAAAACGTTTAGACCTTAAACTTCTAACAAACAAAGGAGCTATTTACCCTTCTTTCGTACTATATGAAGACAAAGAAAAAATTATTAATAAAATAAAAGATGTATTGTTGAAAGAATACAAAACAACAGGAGGTCAAGAATAATGACAAAAAATAACATTAAGAAAAAATATATTACACATGTTTCGTATTTAATAAAACATAACTTAATGGATTTAGAAAAATTAAAAAACAGATTAAATACAACAGGAAACAATATATTATGATATTCAGAACAAATTTTAGGAAAGATAGATGATGGAAAATGAGACGATGTTTATTATTGTGAAAAAAAACAACTACATACTTGCATAATATTATCCGCTATTAAACATTGTATTGATAATTTTGATGAAATAAAAAAAGGAGGACAAAATAATGACAAAAAATAAACAAGTTTTAAGCTTCTTAGAAAAAAATAGGTTAGAAAGTATTACAATTGGTGCTGGAGCATTAGGATTAATTGGTGCTATTACTGGAATTGTGTTCTTTAGTTTAAAATTAAGCGAAAAAGATATTAGTCCAGAAAAAGCGAAATCAATCGAAACATATGGAGATTTTTCAAATTTAGATAATATATTAATTGATTACGTTGATGATATGTCAAGCGCAGGAAGTTTTCAAGCAAGCCCAGGTTATTTGATCCAAGTTGGTTCAAAACAAAAAATGACTTATGGAAAATTTGCGAAGCAATTAGGAATTCAAGAGATTACAAAAGCAAATTCAACTGGATCGTTAAATTGAGCAGAAGCAGATAAAAAACATTATGGAGATTTAGCAAACGACACTATTGAAGTTGATCACAACGGAACAAATTACACGTTTCAAATTGGCACAAAAACAAAAATTATAGGAATTGAAGATTTTAATACTCAATTAAGAAATCAAAAAATTTTAAGTGAAGACACAGATTACACAATTGATAATTTACCTTCAACTTTAACTTTTGACGAAACAAAATCAATAGCATCAGCAAAAGCAAAAGCACCTCAAACAGTTTCTAATCAAGTAAAAACATCATCACAATCCATTCCTGTAGGTTATCGTATTGGACTTATATCTTCAGGTTTTGTAGCTATTGTCTTAAGTTTAGTCTTAGCAAAAACAGCATTTAAATTGTGAAAAAAATTAAGAGGAGGAACAAAAAAATAATGATTAAAGATTGAGAATGAGAATATAGTGAAAGAGAAAAATATTTAGAAAAAAATAGAGATTTTGTAATATCAAGTAATGAAAGATTGTTTAATGACAATGATATATCAGACTATAGAATTGTAGAAGACTTGATAATATATGAAATAAATAATAAACAAATGACTATTAAAGATCTCGAAAGACTATTTTATAAATATAGTGCACGAGAATTTGATGAAAAAAGAAAACATTTTAATAATTTTGAAACTATACCATTAGTAAATATACAACGAATGGGTACAATTACTCGACATTGTGAAGCTATGAAGAATTTATTAAGTTTTCATATTATCAAACAAGAAGAAAAAAAAGGAGAAAAAGAATAATGCATTACGACCCAGAAACAGATATAACAATATCACCATATATTGATCATGGATCTTCACCATGAAAAATAGAATTAGAAAGATTTTATAATGAAAATAAAGAATTAAAAGAAAAAAATAAAGAATTAGAAGAAAAAAATGAAGATTTGAAGTTTGAGATGTACTGTATGGAAATGAACAGATGTCCAAATATAATACGCCATTATAGATATTATAGTCGTTGTTGTAAGGATACTTGTTTTAGTTTACGAGACGATCCTCATTTTAAACGATATTATAAATGTCGTTGCTGAATGATCAACTAAAATGTTAGATTTCAGAGGACAAAATTTATACAACTTAGGGCCAATTTTTTTAGTTACTGGCCCTATGTTTGCCGGAAAAACGGCTTGAGTACAAAGAAAATTAATTGAATGAGAGTGTGAAGACGCACCTATTTTTCAACGTGAAGATACTATTAGAAAAGAAAGACAGATTGAAAATGTGATTCCATATAAAAATAACGTTGATTTAAAATCAAAATTAGACGAAGTTCTAGATAAAATTTTAAATAAAAAGTTACCCCAAATCATCGTTTTTGAAGAATGTCATTTCTTACCTCTTGAATTCTTTAATGATATTGACAAATTAATAAGCTGAGGAATTGTATTGTTATTTTGTGGTCTTAGATTACTTAATAATGATGTACGCCGATTCATGATGAAAACATTAGAAGGAAAAGCAGATTTTATTGTTAATTTAGAAGGCACTGATTTTTGCTCATCATGTGAAGGTATGCCAGATTACTCTTTGTCATATCGAAAATCAACTAAATCAACGAGCTATGTTGGTGGGTCAGACACCTACCAAGCATTATGCATGAAATGTTTCATAAAAAAAGAAAAATATAAGGAGAAAAATATATAAAAATGAATATGAACGGAAATAATACCGAACAAAATAACGCACTAAAAAA